CCGACCGTAGTGTTTGATAAAAATTAAACAATTTTAGTGGCAGGGAGCGTTGGTTTGATTGGTTTCATTTTGTGTCTATAATCACGCCCGGTCGTAATACTTAAAGATAAAATTCTTTTCTTTTGTTGCTTTGTTGTTTCCTTTTTTTCTTGTTGGTGGGTGATTGCCACGCCCTAGGTTGCGCAAGCGGGAGTTTGCTTGAGAGATGCGTTGGGTAGGTAGATGGTTATTATCACGTAATTGGATAATTATCGTTGTCGCATAATTATGGTTGATTACTTATCAAAGGGTCGGTTGTCTGAGCGAGGCATTTTTTGTAGATCGAACGGGATGTGTATCTTTATTGTATTGTGGTTCGTATTTAATCTAATAAATGGTAATAATATAAATCTACTAAATGGTAATTTGTATTTGTGTAATTGTATTTAACTTGATTTGATAGGAACAGTATTTTGTTACTCGTTAATTCTTTTTGTATTTGTTATTTGTTATTTGTTAGTGACAACGAAGAAAGAAATGGTACAGCGATCGAGCCTGCTGGAGCAATGCAGCATTTTGGGACAGCCTGGAACTCGGCCGCTGCTGGTCGTCTAAGCTTGCTCAGGTCGCAGACATTTACACCTCACTGTACACTACTCGCCATTCACTATTACACACACTCACTGCCTGCTCAAGCCTTGGTGCGAAGTTAGCTTCGGATAATGGTAAGTACTATGTGTTTCTAGCTTTCTCCCATATAGTTTATTGTGATAGAACATATTTCGCGCGGCCATATTGAGGCCCGACCTGCGTCTGCTCGTGAAGTCTCCGCTGATCGTCCCCGGATGATTGAACCTTTGCAGCCGTAGGCCGTAACAAAGTTGAGTTTCTATTTCGCGAAATTAAAAACTAATTTTCATTGATAATATATCAGATGGAATCGTTATTATATTTAATGGAATAACAATTTTTATATGGTACGTGCCGTGTAGTGGCGGTTAAGAATATCCACTACCCCATATCTTCCCGTGGGTGTCGTAAAAGGCGACAAAGGGAAACAGGCAGGAGATGGGCAGCAGCATCTTCCTGATAATAGCCAAAATAACAATAAAAAAACTGCGGTTGCCAACCCGCTCGCCAAGCGTGGCAACTATGGCAATATACCCCCCATGAGCAATGACAATAATAAACGGCCCCCAGTCCCCGGCGGCCCCGCTATTCCTGGCTACGGTGGCGACCATGGTAACGGCGGGGCAGGGGGTGCTAAGAATCTCCGGTGGAGGTTCGGTTGCCACCTGCGACGACTCGACCTGGCAACATACAACGCACGCACCCTGAGGACTGACGAGAAGATTGTGGAGCTGGAAGAAGAGATAGACAAGTTACGCTGGCATATTATAGGATTATCCGAAGTCCGAAGAGAGGGGGAGGACACGGTAATCCTTGAATCCGGCAACTTGCTCTATTACCGGGAGGGCGACCATCTGTCCCAAGGAGGTGTCGGATTTATCGTCCACAAGTCTCTCGTTAACAACGTTGTAAAGATTGAGAGTGTGTCGACGAGGGTTGCGTACCTTATACTCAGAATCACCAAACGGTATTCGCTGAAGGTCATACAGGTTTACGCACCAACCTCGGCACACCCCGATCAGGAGGTGGAGGAAATGTATGAGGATATCTCTAGAGCCATGCATTCCTCCAAAACCCAATATACGGTGTTAATGGGAGACTTCAATGCAAAACTAGGCACAAGAGAGAACGGTGAGCTGAAAGTAGGGAAATTTGGAATAGGGCAACGGAACCCAAGGGGCCAGCAGCTGGCCGACTTCATGGAGAAAGAGGGACTCTTTATGATGAACTCTTTCTTCCAGAAGCGGCCCCACAGGAAGTGGACCTGGTCGAGCCCCGACGGTTCGACAAAAAATGAGATTGACTTCATTATGACGACCAGACGACAACTGTTCAGTGATGTCTCAGTGATCGCGAGGGTGAAAACCGGCAGCGATCACCGAATGGTTAGAGGCACACTGAACCTAAACGTTAAGTTGGAGAGGTCTCGTCTAATGAAGTCAACGCTCCGTCCCCCGCGTGCTCTAATCCAAAGTCCCGAAACCTTTCAGCTCGAGTTACGAAACCGTTTTCAGTGCCTAGAAGACTGCAATGAAGTGGACGATTTGAATGACAAGCTCGTGGAAACTGTCCATGCGGTCGGAGCTAAGTTCTGCAAGACCCGCCGCAGAAGAACACAAAAACTCTCCGATCACACTCTTAATCTCATGGCTGTTAGACGGGAGATGAAGCTACATTCTTCAACAGACTTAACAGCATACAGGCAACTGAACAGACAGATCTCCAAATGCATGCGGCGGGACTTACGCAAATTCAATACAGCTCGTATTGAAGAAGCGATCGAGCGGAACCGAGGCTCCAAAGTCTTTGCCAGAGATCTGTCTGCCAGAAAGCGCCAACTGTCAAAGCTGAAGACAGAATGTGGCAGCATCGTTTCCGGGGCACCTGAGATTTTGAGTGAGATTGAGAGGTTCTATGGGCAGCTGTACACGTCATCGTTGGAGCCGCACGCAAGTGTGAGTAACGATCCAAGAGCGAGTCTTATCCGACATTATTCCGATGATATCCCGGACGTCAGTCTGAGCGAGATTAGAATGGCTTTCCAGCACCTTAAAAACGGCAAGGCCCCAGGCGAGGATGGAATTACAGCGGAGCTTCTGAAAGCGGGTGGAAAACCGGTACTTGAAGTCCTTCAGAAGCTCTTTAATTCCGTCCTCCATGGTGGCATTACACCGGAGGCGTGGAGCAGAAGTGCGGTGGTCTTGTTCTTCAAGAAAGGCGACAACGCTCTCTTGAAGAACTACAGACCGATTTCCCTTCTGAGCCGCGTCTACGTGCTGTTTTCGAGAGTCATTACGAATCGTCTCGCGCGCAGACTTGACGACTTCCAGCCTCCCGAACAAGCCGGTTTCCGAAAAGGCTTTAGCACCATAGACCACATACATACCCTTCGGCAAATTGTACAGAAGTCCGAGGAGTACAATTTGCCACTATGTCTGGCGTATGTGGACTATGAGAAAGCCTTTGATTCCGTCGAAATTTGGGCGGTGCTGCAGTCCCTTCAGCGATGCCAAGTTGACTGTCGGTATATCGTAGTGTTGAAGTGCTTGTACAGTAGGGCTACGATGGCTATCCGAGTACAGGAATACGAAACCTATCCAATTGCAGAGAGGTGTAAGACAGGGTGACGTCATATCCCCGAAACTCTTTACCGCTGCATTGGAAGATGTTTTCAAGCTTCTGGACTGGAAAGGATACGGTATCAACATCAATGGCGAGTACATCACTCACCTTCGATTTGCCGACGATATAGTCCTTATGGCAGAATCGCTGGAGGACCTAAGCACTATGCTCAATGACCTCAATAGTGTTTCCCAACGGATAGGTCTTAAGATGAACATGGACAAAACAAAGATCATGTTCAATGTCCATGTCACACCTATGCCGGTAGTTGTTGGGAGCACTAAGCTCGAAGTTGTTGACGAGTATGTTTACCTGGGACAAATAGTCCGACTAGGTAAGTCCAACTTCGACCGAGAGGTCAATCGACGGATTCAACTCGGTTGGGCAGCGTTCGGGAAATTACGGCACATCTTCTCGTCAGGCATACCTCAAAACTTGAAAACGAGACTGTACACCCAGTGCGTGTTGCCAGTGATGACATACGGAACTGAGACGTGGTCCTTCACTGCTGGCCGGATGAGGAAGCTCAAGGTCGCTCAGCGAGCTATGGAGAGGGCTATGCTCGGAGTTTCTCTGCGTGATAAACTCAGAAATGAGGATATCCGCAGTAGAACTAGAGTGACTGACATAGCCCAACGGATTAGTAAGCTGAAGTGGCAATGGGCCGGCCATATAGCTCGAAGAACCGACAACCGATGGGGAAGAAAGGTTCTCGAGTGGCAGCCTCGTACCGGCAGGCGAAGTGTAGGGCGTCCCCCCACTAGATGGAGTGACGACCTGGTAAGATATGCAGGAAGTCGATGGATGCAGGTGGCTCAGGACCGTGCTTTGTGGCATTCTTTGGGGGAGGCCTATGTTCAGCAGTGGACTTGTGAAGGGCTGTAATGATGATGATGATGATATGGTACGTGGCTTCGGTAATACATAAAAACATTCTCCTAACTTCAATTGAAGAAGGCTACAGACCACACAACCTAGATTTTACTTCTAACTGATCACCTGTGAGAAGTAAAATGTCTGTAATCATACTAACTCTTCATTGCCTTCAAATCGAAACATATAGCAGATACACTGGTGTTTGGTGACAGAAATTGATAAAAAGTGTAACTTTCTAAAACGGTCTTCATCGATGGCCCTCTTGGCTTTTCGGTGTGAGGTATCACTTATGCTCCAATCGCGGTTGCGTTCAGAAGGCTGCCGTCACGCCACGTTTGGCAATATATGTCAGCGAATTGGGACAGTATGTGTCTTTGTTTCATTCTACCTGTGTAAAAAGGTTATATATTGTGTATAGTATAGTCTGCTTAGCGACAGATGGCATTGTTTGATTTATATTCGCGCTATTAAATGTATTACTGCTCATGTACTTAGTTAGCTGCTTATGTATGTCAATTGAGTTTAAAATTCGAGTGAATATACGAGTTGTGTTTACGTGAGTGTGTATCATTTCTAACAACATCCATGGATTTGCTTCTCACTGGATGATCCCAGCGTTTTTGCTGATTGTGGCTTCAGGAAATGAAACTATTTATATATTCCATTATCTACGGTACCCATCGGAGGCAGACCTCAGCCTTGTTTTTATCGCTCTTGTAAAACTGCATTACGCAGTAATCAGGAGCGATATCAGGCCTGTGCTGACGCATTAGGGGAGTAAAAATAATTATCAAGTATTTTCACGTCGAGTCAGAGATGATAAAATGATTGAATGGCTCAATATATATGGATAATTCTGAAAAACATATAGAAAGGTCACCTCTAATTCTCACCGTTCATGTCATAAACTTTAAGCGTGCCACTCGTGCAGGCGACAATCAATAACGCGCCCCGGGCGAGCGTGGTCAGCGCGTGCAGCGCGCCGTCGCACGGCACCAGGCGTACCAGCAGCGTGCCGCGCCGCACCGCCCATATGCATAGTACTCCGTCATCATATCCTACCTGATAATCGAAGCATATTACTATAGTAGTATAGCTCGAAATAGTATATATAATAACATAGTATAGCAATATAATAATTTTTAAATTATGACTTTTGATCATCTTTATTGAAAGTATGATGGTGATGGCTGAGTGTTACCATCTTCTTGACTACTGTCTGGCTATCAGCCACAACTCACACTTCTGAGAGACATTTTGTCTTCGTTTGTGTTATGTACATGATTGTATGACCTTTAAAGGAAAAGGTATGACTTTTTATAATTTAAATATCGATATTACAGTAAAATTTGATATGCATATGTCTAAGCTTTAGACTATATAACGTGAGAAACCTGCTTGAGGAAAGACTACTAAGATGGTACGTACACGTCAAGCTTAAGCCGGTAGATTGGAAGCAGATGCCTGGATACGGTTATGGCAAGAGTAAGAGACACAAAAAGTGCTGATTTGCTGTCGCAAGATCGGATATGAGCGACAATTGACTCACTACCGAGAATGTTTCAGATCTGGTAAAACGGAGATGGGTGAGCAGGAAAATTAACTCAGGCAGTAGTCTGGATAACGTGTGGAAGAAAAATAAATCTCACTTAGCAGACAAGTTCACTATTGCAATTTTTTGTAATTTCGAGTTGTTGTAGTGTAGTATACCCCCCACGACTATAATATATATTAGTGTTAAGGTAGAATAAGGACAGTATAATTAAAGTTATAGAAGCAGCAACACGTCTCAATTTTATTGACATAGTTCCTATATTACATGGCAACCCTGCCAGGCGGTGCGCTGCTATAATGCACGCGCACCGCCGCGGCTTACATAATGATTAAAATTGCAATATAATTCAATTATTGAAATTTTCTCAAATTGACACAATTATATACCCTGACTACACGGAATATATATCCGGATGTGACGAAAAATTAATAAATAATTATACAAGAAGAGGCCACAATAATAATAGACTGAAAAATTAAAAACTATAACGTACGAGTATATGAAGTAATATAATATATTTATCTTTAATATAACTATGAAGGCAACTAAGAAAGAATGATGAGAATAAAAAGTGATTTCTTAAATAATGACCAAAGACCAAATTCAAGAAACGGCAAATGAATTTAATATGGAAAGGAGCAGTTGTACTTTAGCAAGCTTTGTCCAGTAAGATATGAAAATTAAACCGAAAAGAAAAAAGAAGATATAAGAGGTAACATCGCATCAGCGTAATTTTTAACATTTGATTTTAATTATTTTTTATTATGTTTTATATTAAATACATAAGTAATGCATTAAATATTAAATGTTTGTTTGTTTGTTTGGTATTTGCAAGTAACTTGAAAATATTTATCATATTTAAAACTTTATAATATTTATAATATTTTAGTAGATATTGTATTAAAAAAAATACAATATATTAAGTTACATTTTACAATGACAAGATTCGTATATATATGTAAATATATTTTTAAATTCAGTCCAATATTTTTCCGTGATTAATTTTATTTAAATGTAAGTATACAATTTTGAGAAGGGTTTTATAAAAATAAATCGCTATTAATAAGTCATAATTATTTTTCTTCTTTTCTAAAGGCATGAAAACCTTAAAGTAACTATATAAATAAACAGATAACCTTTGATAAATGACCTAAAAGTTAATATAACCTGCTTAAAAATCAAAAATTGGAAATAACTTAATGTTTTGTTTAATATAAATTTAGCTGTAATAGTGATTACAAATTATTTTTTGTAGGTTATACGGTTTCTTAAATTTCTAGAAATCCTAAATTTTTATATGTAAATTAAATGTATAACCAATGCTTATATATTTTTCGATATAATTAAGAGTAATAGCGATGCGATGTAATTATACTATAAACTTCTGTGTCAGTTAGAAAATATTTAAAACTATCATTTTAATGTGATAAGAAAAATAATCATTAAAGGAGATTTCAATAATAATGTTTCTTAACAAAGTTAAATATGGACATGAAAAATTGATATATTAACTATATCACATAAAAAGTTGTCATATATTACCTCATTTTTGTACAATATTAAAAAGTATATATTTAAAAGGTGCGAGGAATGAGAGGAGTGTTCAAAAGTATGAATACGAATGATTGAATTTCTAAGTTTCGTCAATATTGGACTGATCACCCAAATATTTGATGATGCTTAAAATCCTGGTATTGAAACCATTATGAGCGAGAATTATGACAGTTAGTAATGGAAATGGAGTATGAAAGTATATAAGTTACCGATACAGTCAAGTAGATAACAGCAGGTACTATAAAGATAAAGAAAGAAATAAAAATTTATGAAGAGAATCAAAATAAAATAAAAGATAACCTTGATAAATAAATCATGGTGAGATACGGGAACGTCCATCACTGGTAAGGCATATAGTCCTCGAGCAGGGTATGTTTCCATGATTGGTTGATAAAATCGGGTGTAACGGGTACTAGGGAACAATATCTTCAGTACAAGTGAGATGTGAACGAATTTACTCATATTAGTACTGTTGGGGACCAGAGAAGTCTTAAATTTGTTACCCTTATTAATGGTACATAGAGATCACACCCTTCATTGGATCATAGTGTGAACTTAGTTTTCCACCGTGACAATTGTTGGAGTCTTTTTAAAATGACTTAAACGTAGACCTCAAGGTTATGCGCACAACCCAAGATACAGTTTTACCTTGATATAGTATGATAAAAAAAAGTTTATGTACCAATAAAATGAAATAAATGTAGTGGAAATGTGATACAATACCCAAATAAATGGGGGGCCCATATGTATAAAGTACCCGCGTGATAAATATCACGAAATAAAATATAAATGAAATGAATTAATACTCCGATTCCCGGTATCTAAATCTAAATAATAAATAAATATATTAGTGAATAAAGAGAAATAAAGCTAGCTAAAGGTAAAAAAAAATCAAGAAAAAAGTACGTACAAGAATTATGAAAAAAAAAAGATAATAAAAAGGCCTAACAATCAAAAATAAGGAATGAGAAGAAAAAGTATAAATAAGTATATAAGAGCAGAGTATTTTAAAATATAAATGAATGTACAACTATACTAGAACTTCGCGAATTACCTAATTATGTCAAATAAGAATGTTGTATGTATGCATGATACATCATACCAATTCTATTATGACGTTGAAATTACTATGGGACAGAGGGATATGGCCACCCGAACTACCCATAGGATATACCTATTTATATTTACTTTTGTAATTTATGCTATTATTAGACTAACGTTATATATTTATTTTTAGAAGTTAAAAAAAACAAATGTATTCATTTATTTTTTATTTTTTTGTCGGTGGGAGTTGTAGTGTAGTATACCCCCCACGACTATAATATATATTAGTGTTAAGGTAGAATAAGGACAGTATAATTAAAGTTATAGAAGCAGCAACACGTCTCAATTTTATTGACATAGTTCCTATATTACATTGTATTTGGAAAAATCATTTTAATTCCATTTACCTCTGTCGCCTGTTACGATAAGGTCGGAAGTGAGAATCAATAGAATCACTACCGTGTTTCAGACCGGGCAAAGTAGAGACAGGGAGGAGTTGGAAGAAATAAGAACTAAAATCACTTATTTAGAAAATAAATTGGAAAGTGTAGAAAAGGAAGTTGATAATTTATCATTAGGAAAAAGTTCTTTCAACAAATTATTTCAGCCAATGAACAGAAAACTGATACAGAGGCCAATTTATGTCATTCAATGTGAAAGATACATAAAAGCAAAAATAACAAAAAAACGGATGAGCAGAAAAACGGAATCAGGCAGAATGGATGAGCAAGAATGCAGACTCAGACTTTACTCAGGCAGTGAAGATATAGAATAAGCCACACTAAGCAAGTACTGGCAACCGAAGTTTTAATTATTTTTACGTGTTATGAGGAACATTTCACTTCCAGATTCAGATTTATTTCTCTATGGGGCACAATCAGACAATGTAGTCATTATACGTCAATGTAGCGTTATAGTCGAGGTCCCTCTCGACCACCGTGGAACGACATGACAATGTAAGATGTAATCGTCTTCGGCAGAACGCCTCGTAGCCAATACGACAACGCCACAACGAATAAATACCCACCAGCAGTCGCGAGGCGGCCCAAGTAAGAGCGCGCGCGGCGGCTGCGGCGGGCGCGGCCAGCTCGCGGCGCGGCACCAGCGCGCGCGACCACACGCGCGCCGCGCCATCCACGCCCGCGCTGGCCAGCAGCGCGCCGCTCGCCGCCCAGCGCGCCGCCGTCACGCCGTAGCGGTGCGCGCGCACAGCGCCGCCCGCCTCCGCCCAGCCTGAGTGTCACACGCAACACAATATCATAAGCCAAACGTCCACGCCCGCGCTGGCCAGCAGCGCGCCGCTCGCCGCCCAGCGCGCCGCCGTCACGCCGTAGCGGTGCGCGCGCACAGCGCCGCCCGCCTCCGCCCAGCCTGAGTGTCACACGCAACACAATATCATAAGCCAAACGTCCACGCCCGCGCTGGCCAGCAGCGCGCCGCTCGCCGCCCAGCGCGCCGCCGTCACGCCGTAGCGGTGCGCGCGCACAGCGCCGCCCGCCTCCGCCCAGCCTGAGTGTCACACGCAACACGATATCATAAGCCAAACGTCCACGCCCGCGCTGGCCAGCAGCGCGCCGCTCGCCGCCCAGCGCGCCGCCGTCACGCCGTAGCGGTGCGCGCGCACAGCGCCGCCCGCCTCTGCCCAGCCTGAGTGTCACACGCAACACGATATCATAAGCCAAACGTCCACGCCCGCGCTGGCCAGCAGCGCGCCGCTCGCCGCCCAGCGCGCCGCCGTCACGCCGTAGCGGTACGCGCGCACAGCGCCGCCCGCCTCCGCCCAGCCTGAGTGTCACACGCAACACGATATCATAAGCCAAACGTCCACGCCCGCGCTGGCCAGCAGCGCGCCGCTCGCCGCCCAGCGCGCCGCCGTCACGCCGTAGCGGTGCGCGCGCACAGCGCCGCCCGCCTCCGCCCAGCCTGAGTGTCACACGCAACACAATATCATAAGCCAAACGTCCACGCCCGCGCTGGCCAGCAGCGCGCCGCTCGCCGCCCAGCGCGCCGCCGTCACGCCGTAGCGGTGCGCGCGCACAGCGCCGCCCGCCTCCGCCCAGCCTGAGTGTCACACGCAACACGATATCATAAGCCAAACGTCCACGCCCGCGCTGGCCAGCAGCGCGCCGCTCGCCGCCCAGCGCGCCGCCGTCACGCCGTAGCGGTGCGCGCGCACAGCGCCGCCCGCCTCTGCCCAGCCTGAGTGTCACACGCAACACGATATCATAAGCCAAACGTCCACGCCCGCGCTGGCCAGCAGCGCGCCGCTCGCCGCCCAGCGCGCCGCCGTCACGCCGTAGCGGTGCGCGCGCACAGCGCCGCCCGCCTCCGCCCAGCCTGAGTGTCACACGCAACACGATATCATAAGCCAAACGTCCACGCCCGCGCTGGCCAGCAGCGCGCCGCTCGCCGCCCAGCGCGCCGCCGTCACGCCGTAGCGGTGCGCCCGCACAGCGCCGCCCGCCTCTACCCAGCCTGAGTGTCACACGCAACACGATATCATAAGCCAAACGTCCACGCCCGCGCTGGCCAGCAGCGCGCCGCTCGCCGCCCAGCGCGCCGCCGTCACGCCGTAGCGGTGCGCGCGCACAGCGCCGCCCGCCTCTACCCAGCCTGAGTGTCACACGCAACACGATATCATAAGCCAAACGTCCACGCCCGCGCTGGCCAGCAGCGCGCCGCTCGCCACCCAGCGCGCCGCCGTCACGCCGTAGCGGTGTGCGCGCACAGCGCCGCCCGCCTCCGCCCAGCCTGAGTGTCACACGCAACACGATATCATAAGCCAAACGTCCACGCCCGCGCTGGCCAGCAGCGCGCCGCTCGCCGCCCAGCGCGCCGCCGTCACGCCGTAGCGGTGCGCGCGCACAGCGCCGCCCGCCTCCGCCCAGCCTGAGTGTCACACGCAACACAATATCATAAGCCAAACGTCCACGCCCGCGCTGGCCAGCAGCGCGCCGCTCGCCGCCCAGCGCGCCGCCGTCACGCCGTAGCGGTGCGCGCGCACAGCGCCGCCCGCCTCCGCCCAGCCTGAGTGTCACACGCAACACGATATCATAAGCCAAACGTCCACGCCCGCGCTGGCCAGCAGCGCGCCGCTCGCCGCCCAGCGCGCCGCCGTCACGCCGTAGCGGTGCGCCCGCACAGCGCCGCCCGCCTCTACCCAGCCTGAGTGTCACACGCAACACGATATCATAAGCCAAACGTCCACGCCCGCGCTGGCCAGCAGCGCGCCGCTCGCCGCCCAGCGCGCCGCCGTCACGCCGTAGCGGTGCGCGCGCACAGCGCCGCCCGCCTCTACCCAGCCTGAGTGTCACACGCAACACGATATCATAAGCCAAACGTCCACGCCCGCGCTGGCCAGCAGCGCGCCGCTCGCCGCCCAGCGCGCCGCCGTCACGCCGTAGCGGTGCGCGCGCACAGCGCCGCCCGCCTCCGCCCAGCCTGAGTGTCACACGCAACACAATATCATAAGCCAAACGTCCACGCCCGCGCTGGCCAGCAGCGCGCCGCTCGCCGCCCAGCGCGCCGCCGTCACGCCGTAGCGGTGCGCGCGCACAGCGCCGCCCGCCTCCGCCCAGCCTGAGTGTCACACGCAACACGATATCATAAGCCAAACGTCCACGCCCGCGCTGGCCAGCAGCGCGCCGCTCGCCACCCAGCGCGCCGCCGTCACGCCGTAGCGGTGTGCGCGCACAGCGCCGCCCGCCTCCGCCCAGCCTGAGTGTCACACGCAACACGATATCATAAGCCAAACGTCCACGCCCGCGCTGGCCAGCAGCGCGCCGCTCGCCGCCCAGCGCGCCGCCGTCACGCCGTAGCGGTGCGCGCGCACAGCGCCGCCCGCCTCCGCCCAGCCTGAGTGTCACACGCAACACAATATCATAAGCCAAACGTCCACGCCCGCGCTGGCCAGCAGCGCGCCGCTCGCCGCCCAGCGCGCCGCCGTCACGCCGTAGCGGTGCGCGCGCACAGCGCCGCCCGCCTCCGCCCAGCCTGAGTGTCACACGCAACACGATATCATAAGCCAAACGTCCACGCCCGCGCTGGCCAGCAGCGCGCCGCTCGCCGCCCAGCGCGCCGCCGTCACGCCGTAGCGGTGCGCCCGCACAGCGCCGCCCGCCTCTACCCAGCCTGAGTGTCACACGCAACACGATATCATAAGCCAAACGTCCACGCCCGCGCTGGCCAGCAGCGCGCCGCTCGCCGCCCAGCGCGCCGCCGTCACGCCGTAGCGGTGCGCGCGCACAGCGCCGCCCGCCTCTACCCAGCCTGAGTGTCACACGCAACACGATATCATAAGCCAAACGTCCACGCCCGCGCTGGCCAGCAGCGCGCCGCTCGCCGCCCAGCGCGCCGCCGTCACGCCGTAGCGGTGCGCGCGCACAGCGCCGCCCGCCTCCGCCCAGCCTGAGTGTCACACGCAACACGATATCATAAGCCAAACGTCCACGCCCGCGCTGGCCAGCAGCGCGCCGCTCGCCGCCCAGCGCGCCGCCGTCACGCCGTAGCGGTGCGCGCGCACAGCGCCGCCCGCCTCCGCCCAGCCTGAGTGTCACACGCAACACAATATCATAAGCCAAACGTCCACGCCCGCGCTGGCCAGCAGCGCGCCGCTCGCCGCCCAGCGCGCCGCCGTCACGCCGTAGCGGTGCGCGCGCACAGCGCCGCCCGCCTCCGCCCAGCCTGAGTGTCACACGCAACACGATATCATAAGCCAAACGTCCACGCCCGCGCTGGCCAGCAGCGCGCCGCTCGCCGCCCAGCGCGCCGCCGTCACGCCGTAGCGGTGCGCCCGCACAGCGCCGCCCGCCTCTACCCAGCCTGAGTGTCACACGCAACACGATATCATAAGCCAAACGTCCACGCCCGCGCTGGCCAGCAGCGCGCCGCTCGCCGCCCAGCGCGCCGCCGTCACGCCGTAGCGGTGCGCGCGCACAGCGCCGCCCGCCTCCGCCCAGCCTGAGTGTCACACGCAACACGATATCATAAGCCAAACGTCCACGCCCGCGCTGGCCAGCAGCGCGCCGCTCGCCGCCCAGCGCGCCGCCGTCACGCCGTAGCGGTGCGCGCGCACAGCGCCGCCCGCCTCCGCCCAGCCTGAGTGTCACACGCAACACGATATCATAAGCCAAACGTCCACGCCCGCGCTGGCCAGCAGCGCGCCGCTCGCCGCCCAGCGCGCCGCCGTCACTCCGTAGCGGTGCGCGCGCACAGCTCCACCCGCCTCCGCTAAGCTTTAACCAAGACTATGACTTGGTTAAAGCCACCCTGAACAGTTCGTTGCGGGGAGGCTTAAAAACCGTAACTTGGTCACTCACGGTGAACTAAAATCAACCCACATGGCTGGCCCGTAGTCACGCCGAGTAGGCTTGATGAGCCCACTGCGAATATATTATATTATTTGACTGCAACAAGAGGAGTTTCCTACCTGCTCTCGCCTGACTGGATCAAAAGAAGAAATAAAGAAAATGTTTATTCGTTACTGCAGCTACTTTTAGAAAAAAAGAAAAAACCTTAATAACAATCTACATTATACGGTCTTTACAAACCGCACATTTCTGCACATTAGCATTTTTACCTTATTTTTTCATTCACCGTCGCGCATTGTACTTACTATCAATAATATCAGAATAAATTACATAATCAGTTCAAGTCTTTGTCTGTCGGGGGTGTGTCTGGCTGTTTGTTAAGTATGTTGAATTGATAACGTTCGAAATAGTAAAAAATCACTTTATTTAAAACAGTTACAAAAATGTTAATAAATTTTTATGACAAATTGGCGGCACAACGCCAATTGTTGACAAAGGTGTTCGGTTTCACCGAGCATTATCATTTCTATCAATTTCTAAGATTGAACAGCACGGCAGCTCGTACATATTTAAAAAGTATTGCATAACAGCAACAAAAAGACCACAAACTCAGCTTAATGCTGCAGTAACAGAATCAATTACTTTTGAGTAGGTGGTACGATTCCTTTTCTGTCTCGGAGTTTGTCTAAGTGGATAACACTTCATAGCTATTTCTACTGCAGTGTTTACGCTACTATATCCCGGTCTAAAAAGTATTGAGAGCCAGTATATTTACAAGCTATTGTATATATTTAAGACTGCAAACTTTGTTGTGTAGAGAGGACGGCAGGTGTTTATAATAGTGATATGACAAACCAAATTACAAACACATCTACCAGATAGCTTCTATACTTTTCAGACATAACAGTACACGCACGGCTACCCCACTACTTCGATTGAACAACGTTACCCCCACACTAGGATTTTCTCCTGTATCGTGGAGCAAACCTGAAACAATTATTTGTAGGCCATACAAATACTAGTTTCGAGCGAGATTCGAACCCGCAGCCCCCGCATTGCAACTCATTGCTAAGCCGCTGTACGATAGAGTAGAATGTGGAGATCTAGTATAGTTGCAGGCTATAAATCACACTCATCATCATCACCACATCACAAATTAACTGCGTGATTTTATGGTCTAGTGGTCGTATGGACGATTGCTGATTATGTAGTTCATGTGGTAGCCGTTGCTCTCCTCGACCAATTCAAAGGGAATTTAACGTTCCGTTACACGATACCGCTACAATTTAGGTGTTGATAATATCGTAATTGTGATATACATTAGTAAACGTACCCGCGCCGGGTTGCCAGCGCCACAGCCGCAGAGCGCAGTCGCCGCCGCCGGTGGCCAACAACCCGCCGCTCACATCCGCGCATGACACTTCTCCGCGATGAGCCCGCAGAGTATGCACCAGAAGAGGTTCCGTCGTCTCCTCCCACATATCAATATTTGAGAACGCACGCTCTCACTAAACATCAATTACGACTACATTTAATGAGATATACATGCTTATTGGTAAATATATAATATCAAATATAAACTTTACATCACTCCATTAGTTGTTTTTATAACGCTATTGCCTATGGTATCCAATAAACCTATGTCAAAATGAAGGATACTAGAGAGAACACGATAATATGTAACTATTATTTACATAAATTAAGGAACAGGAATGGTAACGCACTTTCACCGCCACGTCCGAGCGACGCAGACTGCGGTTAAAATGACACGTGTCCTTGCTGTCCATCGATTGTGCCGCAGCTATATAATTGCTTCCACGTCAACTCATACCGATTACAATATCCATATCAAACTTTAAGCTTTCAGTTTTACCAGAAAAAATGACTATAATTATGTTTGTTTAGATTTTCAAAAGATTATTTTATTTTTCGTAAACCGTACACGGTTGTATAATTTGATTTTAATTTCCCTGATACAAAGAGCCGTGGTAAATTTTATAGCATGCGAGCAACCTAAGTTTTATCTTAAAATCTCTGTCATGTCCTGCAGCAACATTGAAAATGCTATTCACCAAAATATGTTAATCATCATCATAGTTATAAGTTTAGTTCATAACAAGTGTAGTACTGAAATAGGTCATTCATTCATTAAAGCCTAACAAAAGTCCACTATTGTACATAGGGCTCCCCCGTAGGTTACATTATAGAGGGGGATATTTTCCATAGCTGCCACGCTTGACAGGTGGGTTAGTGATCGCTTTTTATGATTCTGTAGTGACAGAACACCATAGTTTCGCCATGCCCGTCCGTCCATCCGTTAGTCCTGTCGCGGTTTTACTCATGGAACCTAGATGCTACAAATATGTAATATGACATCGTTATATATATATACATACATATATATATATATATATATATATACATATATATATATATATATACATATATATATATATATACATATATATATATATATATATATATATATATATATATCACTCACCTTTACAAAACTGTGAAATAAAATCTTAATAAGCATTTTTATTTTGGGTACCTCATTTTACCTGATTTTTTTGTCCGTCTATACCACACGATGGAATCGTTGAATAGGTTTTTCAAAGAGAATGGGAGTACGGAACAACATCTTTTCGATTCAAGGATCCGTTTGCGAAATATTTAGTTTCAAAGTGGTATTTTTCATTAGAGTCATATGTCCCCTCTACCAACTAAACTGTTGTTTCTGGAAATTTTAAAAGTATACATTATATAAGTTAAAGCGGAAGTACATCACCTTGCCTTGTCTGATCACGAAACGGGACAAACACTTTCGCTCAAAACTACAAAATCGTACGAAATATGCTGTTGGTATGAGGATGTCAGAGATTATAGTAAAGAAAACTTGGATAAGTTCTGTAGTTGCGTATCGTCTCTTACTCTTTCTCAAATGTATACGAAAAAAATAACTTGCAAGAGGCGTTTATCGAATTTTATGATTTATTTAAACTATTTTTTGATCTTTGCTTTCCAATAATTACAATAAAAAGGGCAACTAAAAAGGGGAACCATAAATGGTTGACGAAGGGCATTAAAATATCCTGTATAAGAAAAAGATATCTCTATCTTAGTCAACAACATAATAAAACAAACAGGAAAACGCTCAATAAAACATATAAATCGTACAATTCCATACTCAAAACGTGCATATATAAATCGAGACAATTACAAAGTAAGAAATATATAGACAATAATAAAAATAAATGTAAAGCCACATGTGCGGTTATTAATGAAACTAGTGACGACCAAAACACGAAAACGCAAATTGACAGAATAATTAAAAATAATCGGATATATGACGACCCAAAAAAATTTGTGACATATTTAATGAAATTTATATACAATTGACAAATAAAAATAATTTTAAATATAATATTGACGAAATAAACAAGACTATAAATACTAATAATGAATATACAATATTCCTTAAACCTACTGATGTAATCGATATACTCGTATTTCGGATAATTAAAAGTCTTAATAACACAAACGCGGTAGGGTTTAATAACATAACAACCACTGCAATTAAATTATCCGCACCATACATATGTCAACCGCTATGTCATTTAATTAATATGTTCTTTGAAGAAGGTACTTTCCCAAATATATTGAAAAACTCAATCGTCAGGCCACTTTTTAAGAAAGGTTACACATCTGAAATGAATAACTAATAACAGTGACGCTGATACCCATCTTGTCAAAAATCTTCGAGAAGACTCCGCTGAAAAGACTTCAAGAATTTATATGTCATCGTATACTTATCGAATTGTATTAAAGCAGTTCTTATGTTAATGCTATAAGGGTATATAACAAATTGCCCAACTCATTTAAAGAGTTACCTTTAACTATATTTAAAAAAAAAAGTTGACACAATGGTTAAAGGAAAAATGTTTTTACGACTTCAAGGAATTTATATCATATTGCGAAAAATAAATCTTATATCAGTAATATTGATACATATATAGGTAATTAACTAGTACGTTTATTACATAATCTAACATTTTAAAATTTATTTTTTATTCATTTAAATTTAAATAATTATAACTGCAATTAATTAATTTGTTTTTAATAATCATAAATATGTATACACAATTGAGTTTATAATTGTTGTTTAAAAAAATTTGCATGTATACCTTACTAAATAATCTAACATTTTAAAATTTATCGCTTGAATTGACATTATAATTTTGACTCCAGTTAATTAATTTGTTTTAATAACCATAAATGTACACAATTGAATTACTATTTCTTCTTTAAATAATTTTTTGCATGTATACCTGTAAAATATTTGCACACCAAATTTAGTGGTAGAATGTAAATGGGCCATTAGATATAATTTAAGATCATGCTTTATTATACACATACATTCTGGCAAATAAATTAATTGGAATTTGAATTTATAATGAAATATACTATCACAGCTAAGCAGAATTTACAAGTTAACGAGTAATAGTCAACCATCTTATAAAATGCACTTGGATTAGTAAAAGTTTCATTACAACTCCATAGAAAATGACTTAAACTAGCTGCATTATAACTTTGTATTGTTACTGTAAACTATAAAAAATAAACTGAAGAAAATATCATATGCATTACTACTATAGCTTTAATGTTTCATTTGCGGTCTTGGCAGGGAGGATTTTTCTTACTTACTTATTACTTCCACTTATTTTTAGTTAGTAGTTATTGTAGGCCTCGTTCAAAGTATTCATACAATCATAAAGCCTCATACAGTTTGATTCGTAACACTCTTGGTTTACGCGGGTGACCTCAGGATAATTTAGGGCAGTGGTGCTATACGAGAAGGTTCGTTACGGTCATATCTGTATATCTTAGGGTTGCACTGAGGGGAATATATAGATAGATAGTCAACTATGATCATCTTTGTACTTACTCGGCACGTGAATGATTTGATGTAAATTGTATTCATCGTATGTTTGATCAGGTCGTCACTCTGATGGAGTGTTAAATAATCGGCATCACGCGCGATAATTTGTAACTTTATTCTCATAATTCCAGATCATTTCACGTGTACAATGACATTGTATATTTTGAACCGAAAGACAGGTGGTCTTTCTGTGCTTTCGCGGAAACAAACTGCTTCTGAAGTACTAAAAGAATTTAATTATTTTACATTTATACAAATTATGGCGTAATAATGGTGATTTTCGGCCATAATAATATGGCCTTGGCCTAGGTTGGGCATCGTTGTGTAAATCATACAATGTCATTTTGATGTCAGTTTAATGACTACCCACAGATTTATAATAGTTCTTAATGTTACCTAGTACCAATTATAATAGTTTGTAGCTTCGACTTTAATATTATATGAACCAGATACTCATTAACTAAAAGCGTGTCGATCAAACCAATATGATACATCGCAAGGTTCTCGAACGACGCGGCGCTGTAATTATTAGTTACACATTCAAGTAGAACATCAATATGTACAGGAAAAGAATAACAAATTTCCCGCTTTCAGGGTAATTACGATACTGTAGGTTCTATTTTAGCATACGTATAAGAATGATCTCTTGTGTTTACACTCATTATTAAATGACAAATACCAAGCATTATTGGCGCTTTTTTTAGATAAAGATAAAGATACATTTATTGCATAACTGTGTACAATATGATCTTAATAGAAAAACATATAGTTTTAGTCTCAACAGTCTACCCATGTCGGATATGCAACAATTTTATACGAGACAAAGAGTGTAAATCTAGTTCATATAAATAATATTATAGTTTAGTAGTAAACCGCGCTTTCTGGTCAACTAAAATCCTCGTTATATCCATCCTTAAAAAAAAAACGACGAGAAGTTGAAGTTTAGGCGGCTCTTTTTATAATTTCTTTTTTTTTCTTTTTTTTTTTTGAAAAACGTTAAAAACGTTTCTTTTTATAATTATTAATTACAATAGTTTTTACCGTCCATTTTTATTCAATAATTTTTAATGGACACGTTTATTGACTGAGACATAACTTAAAAAAGGAATTGATTACATACATACTCTTTGATAATATATTACATACATTCATACTTTAAAACATTCAAGAATTGACTCCTATTATTCTTTTTATTTTGAGCAGCATATTTGTAATTCTTTTAAACTTGAACACATATAATTTTAACCGACTTCAAATATAGGAGGAGGTACTTAATTCAACTGAATTTTTTAAATTCTCGATGACGGGGGGAAAACACCGCCGACCATCCCGCGGTGTGAGTGCTCCATGCCGGATGTGCTGTTCTCTCAGCGCTCGGTTCACAAAGCACTTCTCTCCCTGGATATCCAGAAGTCGAGTGGGCCTGACGGAATCCCCCCAATTGTGCTAAGGACGTATACTCCGGAGTTGGCACCGGTCCTAACGTGTCTTTTCCGGTACTCCTACTCCCAAGGCGTAGTCCCGTACTCATGGAAGACA